ATTCTTCGTTTCCTCTATTCAATAATATACCTTATTATAAACGGCCCAAAGTCAAAACTCCCTCAAAAGCATTTTTAGACTGCATAAACATTACTACGTCACATGTCATATTATAAATTCTAAATTCAAAATACTACTTTATAATTTAAATAAAACCGTTTCCTAAAAGGAAGTCATTATTAATCATCTTCGAGTTTTATGGCCTTGTCGTTTGCGAAAATTCCTCAATATAAGTCGACACTAACTAACAAGGAAGTAGAATGACCTTCATTCAAATCGATAGAACCTATAAGCATTAGTTACAAATAATGACACACACATTTATTTCGGTTTATGGTTTAGTCTATACAATGCGTTTCCATTGCCTCGTTTATTAATAAATCAGAAAGATTTATTAATAGGATTTAATATTAATTATACCTTTATTATTATTGTTTCAATTCAAGGTAACTTGACTATGAATATTGTAACTGGTGTACTTATTGAAATGTTGAACTAATTCTTTCAAATATTATCCACATAGTCTATGCCTTATTTATAGTCCAGATTTACGTATAATTATGTAGAATATTTTTATATAATTCTTATTATTTTTATATTATTCTTAATAATTATACCGAAATTTTCAAAGCGTTTGCTATGGTAATTACACTTTACAATTACACCCAGACACACAACAAATGAATCGATCCCATGACGCCTGTCTCAGTAGTAGATCACTACCGACTAAACCAATAGGCCAATCAGTAGTCGTAAGAAAAAGGGCAGTCACTTATTTAACATAAAATCATAACATCTAACACAAAAGGTCATATAAAACTCTCAAATCGTAGACATTGATATAATATATTCATAATATAAAGGCGGTGTGGAGCAATCTTTATTTACCCAGGAAATGAACCGGCTGCCCTTGTAAAGCCGGTACGACGCGCTCACAATAATAAGTGCCTTATAAACATATGGTGTTGCCAACTGGTACAGTTCCTAGTTCATATCAATTACTCGTATACTTATTCTACCCTAAGGATATCCAGTCCACAGCAGGCCTATGTCCAGCAGTGGCCTATGTTTGTTTATCCTAAGGACATGTGATGAAGTAAACACAACTATTACTAAATACTAAAGAAGTGGAATCTTACTAATGTTCACGGAATTCAAGGTATTGAACAAAATAATTCGGGACGCATGACATTGGTTCAGAAGCAGTTGTCTGTTGGTTTAGTTGTTAGACTGTGGTAGAGGTTGTGGGTTCGATTTAAGCCCAGAAAAAACAGTACTTATAAATATGTAAGTCAGCAATCTAGTGGTATAAGCGCGGGCTTAGGATAAGACGGCGCTGTGTGTGACGTACCCATATGAAGTTAATTTATCTGTTTCTGAAAGACCGTAATACTTCGAATTCGATTCCAGATTTATCAAAATAGTTTATAGATTTTCTTATTTAGAAATTAATATTTATATGGTACCTAAAATATGTTGGCGTGGTGTAATAATGTCACCCCCATTCATCCCCTGGGTGTCGTAGAAGCCGACTAAGGGAGCAAACTACGCAGGACAACAGCACTGCAAAGAGAAAGAAATCTTGACATAAACCGTATACCAACCCGTCTCGCCAGCGTGAGGCCGTAGATGATGATGATGACCTAAAGCATTAAAAACGTAATATAGTATTAATGTACGACTTATTCGTGTCAATTCACACAAAAGGAAATGGATTAGGTATATATTTCCATCAGTGAGAATGTGTGTTATTAGTACCAGTAACCCATAAAAGGAAACAAGACGGTTGGCTACAATGGCTAACCAACACGTGTATTAAATAGACATAAATATAGATTAACAAGATAAGGGAAAGACACAAGGACCAACACCACCTTTACCGGATAACTAAATATGATTGAGGAAGTTAAACAACTCTGTGTAACGCCAAACTGAACGCGATTACGTTAATGCAGTATTTATTCATGAGTATTAAATCTAATTGTAAACCAACATATTCTACAAATATATGGAATAACAACAATCTTAATTTAAATCTTCCGATGCTTAAAGCATACGTAAGTTGAATTTTACAATACAATACAAGACTATACAATACCATCAATACAATACAATATACTTTAAACTAACTTGTAACTTGGTTTGTGTGGTGACGGCTTAAGGATACGGTTTGTCACGACCGTGTCATCCCGTGGGCGTCGTAAGAGCAGATTAAAGGAGAGAAGAGAAACTTGACACAAACCCTATACCAACCCGTCTGGCCAGCGTGGTATAGTAGGCTTAAACCTCCTTTCCAAGGAGAGGCATATATCCAGCAGTGGACTATTAAAGGATGTTGATGATGTGATACTTTTAACCATTAAAAGAAAATGCCGAGGAAGAGTCATGCCTGGACACATATGAGACGGCTCCAGAGAAAATATGTGTTAAGAATTCCCATCTTGCTTCTCTTCTCCTAACTCTAAATTTGAAAACTAAAAAAACTATAAATGTCTGATTCATAGACTCTACAAACATAAATGCGGTATTTAGAAATTCCAGACGAAAATTCAAGTTAAGAAATGTTCCTCACTATTACTGAAAAGTCAAGGATATTAATTTCTCTTAAGAAAGTACCGTGAAAGAGTCCAGTCATTTAACGAAGCCTGTTTCAGTTAAAGCGAACAAAGTTTCAATTTTCTAATGGTTAAAATGCCGTTTCACTTACAACCTTACAGGCTTCGAACATACTTGCTGAATCGTAATAGGAAAACATATGACTCAAAGAATAGTTAGTACAACTGTTTTATTTAATATATAATAAGTAACATTACGCAAAAAATATGAATTTTATTATTAAAATATGACTAGACGACCAATATCAAGAAATTGAAAAAAAAAGACTGAAATTGAATAAAGAAATCGAACAATTTGCTGATTCTCGATCGTCGGATCTCGTCGAGTTTGTTCCAGTACGATAACACAAGTTAAATATTAGCTTAATAGGATCTAATAAAGTTTAAAGGTTCAAGTAATACTGGCTTTAATATTATCTTACTCATCATTATTTCAGTGGGTATAAAAAATGGGATTCTATGTAGACTATCAAATCTTATGGGCACGTACGCTTTTGTATAGTCAAATAGTTTAGTAAGGGTCACAATTATTAAGTTTTTGTTCTCAGGTAGAAACATGAATCACTTTTATCATTGAGTATTGACTTCGCTATAACAAACTTTGCTTAAATATCAGTTACAATATATTATTTACCAACCAATAATGATCTATCAATAGCACATAGGTTTATAAGTGCAATAAGAGTCTACACCGGATCTGAGTAAATAAGTTCAAAATAAGGTGGTTTATTCAAAATAAATTACAGCCTGGGTAGCAGTTCTTTTATTAGAAAAAATGGTACTTGTTTAAGGTTTCCCTAATGTATTATCTATTAGACTTGTATATTACATAATATATCAAAACCTCAGGGCACCTAACTTACTAGATTTCTACACCACCCAATGTTGGCTGGTATCATAAAAAAATATCTAATACTATTACAATAAACTTTATGTTTACAATTGCATGTATACCTAAATATCAACGGCTAACAACAGCTAACAAACTTAACATATTTCCTAAATACAACAAACGCACACGAATTCAAAGCTAAAGTTATATTGAAACAAAAACTCAGAGCAAAAAATTACATAGCAACAGAATAGTCACGAACAACCCGACACGTGATTAATCGAAGCAGAGCCGTTGCAATTCTGGCCTAAAATAAATTGTTAGATATCCAAAAAAGGTTCATAATAACAGAGTTTTAAACTGGACAGGGTAACAGCACAAAAACTATCACCTCTGTTCGCCTTCAAGGTGGCTGTGTGGGTGTTCTCAATTTGATTTCGTTACCATCTGACAATCCCTTTTTTATCTCGAATATAAATAAGATACCATAAAAAGCAGCTTTTTTTCAACGAAAGTGGTTTCATTTTGCTTTGAAGTTGACGATCTCGTTTTAATAGGTAGCGACGGATCATATCTTAAATACTTATTTATACAAAAATTACAATATATTTATACAGCTTCAAGGTCACTCGGGTGTTTACAATTTTCCGCATCGTGTTTTTCTAAACCCAATCTTGATGTAGCGTTCATTTTTTTAATGACCTTCACACACAATTCACTGACTTTCAATTAGTGACTTTTCTGCAATATCTACACAAAAAAATGTCTATTATTTACAGTAGGAGTGCCCGGAACCTGCAGATAGACCAAGCCTGTCCGGATATCCAATAGACTTTCCCTAAACCGAAACGCTTATCTTCAAGGAAAAATAGGTGGCTGGCTACTGTCCTCAAGCCGCTTCCTACATGATTTGATAATAACTTCCTGCGTCCTTAACATCCTCGTTAGTCAATGTTTTGTATATAAGCGAAACACGGAAATGTTTATTGCACTTGAACATTTTATAGTTCCAGCCGGTATCAGCTCTAGTTGAATTTAAAATTAGGTTAACATTAGAGCGATGAGGAACTTATCGCATTTAATTCCAAATACTTACTTATTTTAATTAAACTAAGTTTTGGGTAGTATATCAACTTGATAGTAAAACCGTAGGCATCCTAAATAGGTCAGCTACGTTGCCTTTACCAACTAATAATAAAATTAAACGTAAAGCTAGCAATACAGCGCTATACAGCTACTGTAGAGATTTCGACTTCTTTGTAATAACAATAATTCCTATGATAACAATATCATTAATAGTAAGGACACTGAGTTAATGTTGCACCACCTTGCATACTAATTAAACGTGGCCCGGCTCCGTGAATCGGACATGCCTGAAATAATAATAGTGCTTCCACAATTAAACAGATAACGTTGATTTTCCACCTCGAAGGCAAATTTGCACTATAGTTGGGCACAAATTGCCCGTAAAATTTGAAAACGTGATCTAGACTAAACGAATTCTCTTTTGTTCACAGACTAAGAAGAACAATCCGAACCACATAAAGAGGCCGATGAACGCTTTCATGGTCTGGTCGCAGATAGAACGCAGAAAAATTTGCGAACAAACTCCTGACATGCACAACGCGGAGATATCTAAAAACCTTGGCCGCGTTTGGAAGACCCTCAATGATGAGGAGCGCCAGCCCTTTATCGATGAAGCGGAAAGGTTGAGGCAACTACATATGCGGGAGTACCCTGACTACAAATACAGACCGCGCAAGAAGACAGCAAAGTCTGAAAGATCTGGACCAAAAACTGGAGGTGTAACCAAGCCAAAGCGCAAACAACGCGCAGATTCAAATAATAATAGAGGTGTTACTAGGCGAAGGAGACCAGTACCAACCATCCCCAGCGTGCCGGCGGAGACGCCCGCACCCCCTCCGCTACCCGCATCACCAGCTGGGTCGCCTGATTCTCCAGAGTCTGCGTGTTTCTACGAAGACCACAATCGTCGTGAGCAAGCGGATCTTACGGATCTCTACTCCATCACGGACCTGCTTCCGCTACCAGCAGATTGCGAGGTTGACCTTGATGCCCTGACGACGGATATCGACTCATTCGAGACGGCGTCTTCGTCATCAGGTTCCCATTTTGAGTTTTCGTGCACGCCTGACGTCTCCGACATGTTGAGCGAGATCGGCGTAGCGGGCGACTGGGTTGACCACACGTTCTCGTCGTATCTGACGTCGTCTTAGAGCGGTGTTAGGGTCGCCACGGCCGCTGCCGGCCAGTTCCACTGATCTCATGCGGTCGGCCAATGAGCCGCCCCACGGAGGCCGACGATGCGGCGACCGCTCGCCGCCCCGCCTAGAGAGTGCCTATCCAAAATGACGTGTCGACATTTGGATTTAATGTACAAAGTTATTTAATAAGGATCGAGGGTGAAAATTGTTTTGACAACCGACCACATGGTCGCGTTCCTCTTCGGTTTGTTCGATTATTTTAATCGTTTAGTTTTAAAGTTTCCTTTTCAATAACAGCGACGCTTCATCTAGGAAGTGACATCGGGTTCTATAAACGTAGGCTGTGAGTTGGTTCTTGTTTCGTCGTGTTTTGCTTTCGTTATTAAAGCAATGATTTGGACACATTATGAAGGTAATTTCCAAACGACACGTCTCAGACGCATCTCAGTAAATAATCCGTCTGCTCTCCGTCACCTGGTTAGTTAGCCATGGGCCATGTCAGGTTGCCCGCATCACGCTCTTATCGCGTTGTCGCGCCGTATTCTTTGTACGTGTACAATGCACGACTTGGCTTCTAGTGCATTCTAAAATCGTAAGTTTGTATTCTACGTCACACCTTCTTTTTTATTTTATTAACATTTGTACTTTTAAGGGTCGTCTTTTTAATTTGAAACGTTTTTAGATCGACATGTGTATTATTCTTCAATAATAGAAAAATAAGACTAGTATATAGTCGTTTGTCTTACGTTCGTATATACTGTACGTAAGTTCACTTTATACTTTGATGCACACGTAGATGATAGTTAAACATTATTATTTTACTATTGGAAGCTGATCGGTATGTCATTGGAAGAATTTCGGTGTGCGGGAGGTAGTTTTGTCTCGATCGGAGAGGGTGCACCCGTACCACGATTGATTGCCATCGGATCGGGTAACGCGTACTCATTGAATTCTGTAGCTGCTGTTTACGAAACTTCTTCCTTTACGCGTTTCTCGCTCCCCCTCGAATTCATAAGGGTACCGTGGTAGGGGTTCACCGTTTGTTTTATAATAAATGTTCGAGTTGGTCTTGTAAGTTAAGATTCGTAAAGTAAGCTAAATATTTGTTCAATGGTTAGGTATGAGGATATATTGTACAGTAAGATGGCACCCATGGATCGATGTGAAGGGACACTTTCAATTCTAGTTTCTTTCTTCTTGTTGCTACATTAACAACACAATAATGTCTATAGAAAGATACATATCAATAATTGGAATGCGTTGTGCCGCGGGACGGTGGGTTTAATAAAACATTATATTGGATGGGTTAAAAAAGGTTAGTTTTCAATACAAAATGTTTTGCTAATTCAAACTCTGTGATTTACTTTATGGATTTTCTAAATTGTAAGGTTCTAGTGGAGACTGATATCGCATAGATTAGTTTTAGCAGCGCTAGCTTCTCTGACTCTTTTAGTTTTTGTTATATTTTAATACTGGGCATAACATTTTATATTGTGAAAAAAAGTAAATACATACATATTTTTGATATTCTGCATTGCTGTGGAATACGGATTTCGTTCCTTTCTGAGATATGTCAATGTCCTAAATAGATTGTCAGAATATTGCAAGTAGCAAAATACTGTACAAATTATCTTTTTTGAATAAACAAAATTTCATTTCATTTCGCAATTCCGATTTCCACAGCAGGGCCGTATGCTAACAAATTGTATTTAATGAAAAAAAATTAAATTTTTGCTAAAAAATCTGTCAATTCATTGCAAATCGTGTCAGTTAAAAGGTAATATTAAAAAGAAAATGTTACCTCATTCATTATTAAGATAGGTAACCCTTCTACATAATATACCTGTTTTCAAATTGTAACGATATTTGTAGATAATTCTGTGTCCCACAAATATAAAGGGTCCGTTGTGCTAGGTAAGGAAGAAAATGCTTTACCTATATTATATTCTTTATATAATATATTATATATGTAAAAAAGTTCATGTATAATTAGTAAGTGTCTATGAAAACCCATTTTAATAAGAAAAAAAAACATAAAACGTTATCTATACCTGTCTTGTGTGTTGTAGGGCGATAATATAAGAAAGGAAGAAAAAAAAAAAGATATATAAATTTGTGCCTAATAAAAACTTGAAAAAATTCTTGTAATACTTATTTTAGTGATGCTCAAACAAGTACTTTAAGCGCGTAGTGTTAGACGCTGTAATGGACAAAACTTGTATAAAAAATATAATAAGTTTATATTCGATGCCAGTTTTGCATTTTGTTTTTCTTTTAATCGTTTCATTACTGTCTTGTAATCTAATGAAATTCCTTATTTTCAATTGATACAATATTTAGAATTTACAAAAAAGTTTTTGGCGTATAGTTCGTGATCACGCTTTATGCTCGTTCTGGAGTTTCAGTTTTTGCTTGGATCTTACTGCTATTTTGGATGTGAAAGTTGTGGATACTTTAACTCAATCACACAAAACCCTGGAACTGGATAAAATTTAAAACAATTATAGTCAACAACAAACGATTATAGTCTAAAATTGCACACAAACTACTTTTTATTTGGGACTGTCAATTCGTGTCTATCGCATTTTTAATTAAATTTCTTTTATTGGTATTTCATTCGGATGTCTTGAGTTGATAAATATCTTGTAATCTTTTCATCTCTGTAACCATTAGTTGATTCAAATAATCATTTAGTTGAAGAATGATACAGGCTATAAAACATCACCGTACTACAATTTTGAACAGAACTGTCATTAATAACGCAAGGAAAATAAATAAGGAATTTCATTAGGTATACACATATTTCGACTGTATACTCAGTCCCTCCATATTTTCATCTTTGACAATAAAATGTCGTTTATTCAGCTTTATCATACGTAACTTTTTGCGGATTTCCCTATGATAATATTTGTCAAAGTCGCTATACTTCATCCGTCTTTACAAACTTTCATGTAAATAGAGAGACCTACCCACAACAGAAAATCAACGATTAAAAGCAATATTAAAATGTCCTCATTTAAGTGACGTCAAGCTCAAATTAGTATAATTCTCTTCTACTAATAAAAATTGTAAATTGTTCTGACGTTCCAAACAATAGGCATAGGTAATAAAATATCCAACTACCATTATAAATTTAAAATTCAATACCTTTTCTATTAAAACCGGTACGCTTCGAATAATAATTGTGACGAATAAGTTTTATTCGAAGTTCTGATGTTTTTCGATTAACTGTATTTATTCATTTATTTATTTGCACATCCGCTGTATAAATAATGTAAATATGATTTTTATTAGTGGTGAGTGGTTAAAACCTCAAGAGTATTTTGTGAAGCAACATCGAATTTAAAATGTTGTAAATTAGCGCTTCTCTTTCAATAATTATTGGAATTATCAGGGTTTAATAGTTTTTCATTTATGTATTTTAGATGTATAAATGTCCCTAAGATTATTATTACCTTCCTTGGTGTGTAATGTTCGTCAAACTCTTTTGCTTAAGGCTTTCGCTCTCTGTAGCCTTGAAATTCTGTTAATGGAAGCCACGGAAGTATATTTTAATCTCAGGTATGTAAGTAAGTATTGAAATAAAAAATGTTTATACTAATGAAGTCAAAATAAAGCGACACTGTGACAAAAAATTAGAGGGTATATAAACGTCTTAAGTAAAAATATCATAAAGGACGTAGTTGTTGTAGGTTATATATATATATATAAATATATATATTGTGTAATTATATATATAAAGTACTTATAACACGATCTAATGTAGAATTTCTGGATTGTTCTGGAATATTCTCGTTTTATTATTCGATCACTGGAATATTCTTATAACATTGGACCGCGATATAAGTAATAATATATTGTTGTGCATCAATTTTATCGAGATCGCATGAAAATAAGCTTACAAAACTTCGCTTCGAGTCCGAATAGATGTGTATTTCCTGGCAAGCAGATAGATATGTTGCGAAGTATCCCTTGTACGATAAGAATTGGTATAATTACTGTAAATGCAATTAAAATGTTAGTGAAATCATTCACAGAACTGAAAAGTTGATATTCTCGTTACGTTGTTTAAAAAATGATAATTGATCGTAATTATATCTCTGTATCATATGTATCTACGCTATTGTTGATTTATTATAAGCATATTCTATCTTAGACTCCTTCCTTCGGTTTCGAGGCAAATGGAGATTGGAATGTTAAATAAGGACTATTTCTAATCTAAACTCTTCGTACATATTTAATTCGATGAACTCTTTGAAATATATACCTATTAATTTTAAATCATTAATCATTTAAGCAATTTGAAAATTTAATTATTTAAACAATTAATTATTAAATTAAACATAATTAATTAATTAATAATAATAATGAATATTGTTCTTAATTAATTATTTCTTTTTATTTATTTTAAAGTGTGAATGTGTATATTAAAACCCATTTGCTTCGAAATATTTTAAGACACAACGAATCTTCTGTTCCCTTCTTATGTCCTCATGCACTTCATTAATATTAAATAGAAAATAATTGGTGTCTGTAACTGAATATAAACGATATTGTATTATCACCACGCCGTAGTTCGCATATATTCGTTGTTAAAGTAGAGTGTGTCATAATTATTGGTATAATAATTATTAATAATAAAACAAGAATAATTAACGAAAATTTTCGCACAACCTGAGTGAAGGAACTAACTTAAGGTAACGTTATTAGTTATAAAAATATTGCGTAAGGGAAAGTTAATGTAGGATGAGATGTTTTTTGTAATGAACTTTTGCATCCTGAGGGATATACTAGCTACACTCATGTTTTGTCCAAAAGATCGCGTCGAAAGCTGCACGAGCGATCGAACTTGTCCTTATTGTTGAAAGGAATACAAATACGAATTGTTTTACTGTATATACTTATGTTGAACAAGTTAGGAACAAAAAATGGTCCATTAAAATTTAATAATAATTTTAAGAATACTTGCATGTACATTCGAAATATACGCTTGATGTACAATGCCAAACTTA